GGGGCATCCGGTCCTAGAGGATACGGGGGTGGTATCGTGTTCACCACCCCAGAAGGGTTCAAGATCTACCATGCAATCGTCTTCAACTTCAAACTGACGAACAATGAGGCAGAATATGAAGCTCTGGCTGGAGGGCTCAGACTTGCCCAAGCCCTGAAAATCAGCCGGGTCAGTATCAAATCTGACTCTAGCCTGATCGTTGGGCAAGTGACCGGTAACATGGAAGCAAGGGAAGGACGCATGGCACAATACAAGGACCTTGTACTTGCCCTGTTGAAAGGCTTCGAAGAGTTCAAGATCGCCCAAATTCCCCGGGCGGAAAACGCGGATGCAGACCTTCTCTCCAAGTTGACGCAGTATGCTCCCGAGCATGTTTCAAAACTTGCCCGGGTAGAGATCCTTGACCGTGCAAGCATCGAAAAATTGGAAGTAGCCGCTATAACGGCCAGAAGCCAATCTGACCGGTGAAACTTGGTCGGGGCGGACGACCATTGGATGTATGATCTGATGACCGGGCAAGAAAGGTGAAGCTCAGGGCACCCTGATTCCAAGTTCTTGATGGAAAGCTGTATAAAAGGGCATTTGGGGGGCCACTCCTGAGATGTCTAACCAACCGGGAGGCTGAGCGAGTCATAGCGGAGGTCCACGAAGGCGTATGCGCGGCGCATCAAATGTCCCGTACGCTTTCCCAGCGCATCATCTTGTTGGGGTATTACTGGCCAACAATTGTCCAGGATTGTGAAAGGTACGTTCAGAAATGCAAGACGTGCCAAGTATTCTACAAGTATCCTGGTAGACCGGCGACCTACTACCACCCCGTATCGAATGTCATCCCATTCGCTAGATTCGGGGTTGATATCATTGGAGCCTTCCCAGTCGCCCAAGGAGGGAAGAAGTTTGTAATCGTAGCCATCGATTACTTCACCAAATGGATCGAGGCCGAAGAGTTGGCCAACATTACCACGCAACAATGCAAGAAATTCATTTGGAAGAACATCATCACGAGGTTTGGAGCGCCCATGAACCTCATCACCGACAACGGCCCACAATTCTGAAATCCAAGATTCACTGAATACTTGGAGGGCTTCGGGATCAAGCACAATCGCTCTTCGGTGGCGTACCCCCAAGGAAATGGCCAAGTCGAAAACGCCAACACAACTATTGTAGATGGTTTGAAGAAACGGCTGGGAGAGGCAGGAAACAAGTGGCTGGAAGATCTCCCACACATCGTATGGGCATTTCGAGTAACACCCAGGAGGGCTCACGGGGAAACTCCATTCTCCCTAACCTATGGGTGTGAAGCAAGGCTGCCCATCGAAGCTGAATTCCCAACGTTCTGGGAATCAAGTTATCAACCCCAGCAGAATGAGGAAGATCACTTGGCCGAACTCAACTTGGTCGAAGAGCGGAGAATGGCCGCGGAAGTTAAAATTAGTACATACCAACAAGTTGTGAAGAAGTACCATGACAACAAGGTTGGGCCACGGTACTTCCAAGTTGGGGATGAAGTCCTACGAAGAAGAGAAGCAAGTAGACCCGGCGATGGAGGAAAGCTGGCAAAAAACTGGGAAGACCCATACAGGGTTAGAGCCATCATTCGACCAGGAACGTATCGATTAGAAACTTTAGATGGTGTACCGGTAGAAAGAACTTGGAATTCCCACCATCTTCGCAAGTTCTACAAATGATTGTAATACTAGGCGAGGCCCAACTACATTATCAATCAAAGTGATGTTCAATACTCTACTTGGTAGCGGCAGAATGGATAGGTCGAACCTATCCTAGGAGGGCTTCCTGGGTGGATCGAATCCACTTGGATAAGCCAACTGAGACACAGGCCCGGACCTGGCACGCTGGTTACTACACCGGTCTTGCTCAGTATAATAGAAAAAATATTAAAACCCGGAAGAGGGGCCCGGAAGAGGGTATGCCTGCAAGAGGGCTGGACCTGGAAGAAGGTTCGAACCGTACTTACACGGGCCCATGAGATTTGACTGGTGTCGGGGAATCAGCTGGCGCCGTCAAATTGATTAGGGACTAAAAGATGCCCATTAAAAGAAATAGAAGGGGATCATCCACCGCGGCGCATCCTGTTTCCCCCTTCTCAGGGAAGACTTGAACGGGGGGGTGAGCTAAGGCCTCCCCGGGATGGTAGAAATCAAAAGGCCATTAAAAGACTTAATCACCCGGAAGAGGGAGGCCTGGAAGAAGGGTGCATTTGAACCTTGGAGAGGGTTCGAAACCATTCGACATGGTTAAATCTCCAGTATTCTTACCGGTTAAGGATGCTTCAAGAATTACTAGGTTACAGGTGTTTCCATCTACAACCTACCGATAAAAAAAAAGAATACCCCGGTCGGGTATGGGCACAACAGAACTTCGAAAGTTCTACGTCCATCGGAAGGCAAGGCAGTTGACCGGTCAAACCATGGAGTGGGAATTCACCGGTCAAATTAAACTTTATCAAAGAATTTGTGAAGCTATCCAAAAGGCCAAAGTAAAGTTTGGCCGGTCAAATTTTTTAAGTTGGCCACCATGATGAAGACGTTCGAAAGGAAAAAAATTGAACTTTAACCGGTCAAAGCTACTCGAGTTAATCCTTCAGATAAAGTGATCAAAGAGAACTTTGAAGTTCTCCCGGTCAGAAGCAATTGAGAAGTGGCCTGATTTATGTATCGGTCAAAATTTCTATGATGGTATTCTAAGAAGCAATAACGAAGTATCAAAAGGCAAGAAGATATGGAAGATTAACCGGTATGGAAATTCAGCATTGCATTAAAGCAGGATAAGAAAGTTAAGTGTTTACAAATACACCGGGCATTCCCGGGGAAATGGGTTCGAAGTTTATATAAAATAGTTGCAACCGAGCGCAGCCAGGGAGATCAGTCAAGGGGAAATGGGGGAGTAGGCTCTTCCTCCGGGATCGGGGCCAAGCCATAGGCAGCTGCACTAAAGTCTGGGTCCCTTTTCTTCAGGACCCTGTGAGAAGCAGCCCGGTCTTTCTTCTGACCGCTCTTGAACCCAAAGGACCCAATAGCGGTAATCATCTTCTTCCCCTCAGGCTCCCGGTAAAGAAGCCTGAAGGACTCCATGGTAGCTTCCGGGCTTGCCGTCATCACCCGGGCGGCTTCGGCTCTGTTCTCATCCACCCATGCAGCTGCACGACCGGGGAAGCTTTGCTCCTTCAGCGCCATCTCCTGCTTCGTCGCAGAAACTTCGTCCATAAGCTGACCATTCTCTTCTTTGAGCTGGGAGATCTCCGCCTTCATTGTCCCGGTCAAACTAGAGAGCCGGATGAGTTCATCTGCCTGGCTCTTCAGGATGTGAGCCATCTCTTCATTTTCCTTCTTCAACCGGGCTAACTCTGTAGGAGAGCCCATCCCCAGCCGTTCAGCCGCATAGGGCCCGATCTCCCCTGCCTGCACATATAAACATGCCGGTTAGACTCTCATCAAAGGAGAAGACTTTGACCGGTACGAAGGTAAGGCTTACCTCTTTTAGCCTTAGGCCTAGGTTGACGAAGGCTTCTTCGATGGATTGGGAAGCCGGCTCAGGATCCGATCTCGCCCTCTTCTTGGCGTAGGAAGGATGGGTGGTAGCCACCTTCTTTTGCCGGCGACCGACCTTCTCCTTGGCCTTCTCCTTCGACAGGTCATCCGCGGGCTCATCCTCATCGAGAATTTCGACGGTCTCGCGGTTGACCGTGGAAGTTCTGGCAGCGGGAACTTGGGAATCACCGGCTTCCCTCTGTGGCTGTTCTTCGGGGATGGCAAACTCCTCGAACTCCATGTCTGCAAGAACCAACAAAAAGGTGCTAACTATGAGAGAAGGTACCGGTTAGATAAAAGACGAAAGAGAAACGAGGAATACCTGGGTGGGAGTTGCCCTCAGCCTCCGCAGTGTTGCCCGGGGAGGGTACCCCGCGCCCCGCTGCGTCATGGGCCGGGGAGGTACCCTCACCACCCGATTCGACACTCCAGACCCAGCTTCCATAATTGTACTTCCTCCCGGTGAACGGATCACCACGAAGAAGGATCTCAACACTAGCTTCGAGATCGGGGGAGGAGGCCGGTAAGGTGTACTCATGGTTGAGGAGGTGGTCATTCCATTTTAGACCGGCTAGGGGGGTAACAAATGGGGGAAACTCGATAAAAACGAACTTTTCTTTCCACCCCCGGTTGCTTTGGGGGACGTCAGAAATGAACTTCCTACCGGTGCGGCCTTTGAAATACACGAAGCCCTCACAACCGGCCCCACCCGGTAGGACTTCGAAACAAAAGAGGAAAAGACGCAATGAAGGGTCTATTTTGTGGTGGGAGCAAATATTTACAAAGGAGTGCAGGTAACGATGCGCGTTAGGAGTTATCTGACCGGGCAGAATCCTAAACGCATGGCAAACTTCGGTAAGGAGGGGGCGCAGGGGAAAAACAATGCCCGCGTCCAGGGAAATCATATGAAACCCTATCCTATCCTCCCGGTGGGGCTCTATGATGTTTGGCCAGTCATGTTCGTAAAGGAGGGTATAACCATCCGGGAGCCTCCTACGGATTTTATTCAGGGCAATTTTGGATACGTGGGAGGAAATGTCGAGGATATAATATGTAGGGAGTGGAAAGTAACCAGCGGTTCGGAGCCGCTCTTCCCACTCCTCCCACGACTCGGTGTCTGGGTCATAAGGACCCGGTTCGTTGTCGACCGGTTCCTCCCCTTCCGCAGCAACCTGACCGGGCATTTGGTTCACAGGCTGCGGCTCAGGTACGGAAGGGTTGGGGATCTGACCGGGTGCGGAATCCGAGGAGTAACGCTCGGTTGAAGAAGAAGAGGTGGAGTCCTCAGATGAGGAATCATCTGAGGATGAGATCCTATGACTACCAGGGGAAGACATAACTAGACGAGGGAACGAAGAACGGAAAGAAAAGCTAACGAAAGAGGAGGCTTACTTGACTCGGAGGGCTGGAAGGCAAAAGGAGAGGAGCTTGACCGGTAAAACTCAGGAGACGCGCGAGAAGAAGTGAAGAAATGAATGGGGCGGAGCCCTTTATATAGGCGAGGAAGAACTGAGCGAGGGCGACGTGGCTTCCTCTGGGCACGCCGCGTCAGGCGGCGCCATCATGACACCTGGGGAAGGCGAACGGACGCAGAGGAGGCGCGTCCAGCGCGCGGCACGTGTCTAGCGGATACTTTTCAAATTCAAAATTTGAAATATTCTAGCGGGAAACGGACAGAAATTCAAAATTGGAGCCCATTTTTCAAGATTTTTAACTTCCCGCTCATGACAAATTGCATGACCGAGAAGTGGAGGGCTTATTGATGGGTGTATTCCACCCACGACCGGTCAAAGGAAGAGACCAATTAGTTGACCGGTCAATCTCGAAAGTTTTGGAAGGGAGACTTGAATCGTCAGCAAAACGATATATAATCGGCCAAAAGGTGACCGGTATACTTCACGAAAAAGTATACCGGTCAAACTACTTTGTCCCCCTATTTCTCCCTAAACTTCGACGATTTCATCCCACGGAGATTACCCGGTGTAGTTTCTAGGGTTGGAAAGTGTCGGCAGAAGAGAATCTACGAGGGCTTGGCGTGTAGCGACCCGTGTCAGTAGAGGACAACTGGAGATGCTAAAGAATCCATCCAAGGCACTACTTGACAAAGGGAATAATCCCCCTCACAAGGCAACAAGGCAGCTCAAGGACGAAACCAGTCACCTCGCACCACATCAGCATCATGCCCCCACGTGGGCGCACGTGGTCCTGTCCCCCCTAGCCTAGTATAAACACTCATGTAAACCTCAGAAAGAGGGATCCGAATTCATTCTCTCTAAACTCCCTTGTAAAAGCACCCGTGCATTCTCCGTTATAATATAAATTGGGCTACAGGTGTTCCACCTAAAGTCCTCCCGGTCAATCTACGAGTTTTTACCTTTCTTACTTTGTCAAATCAAGCAAACTATTCTAGACCCGGTCTAGTATAGTTTGACCGGCCAGGTAATTTACACCATCAAAACGAATACAGGTTCTCCATATACAGTTCTATTTCCCCCTCTTCCTAGAAGAACATTGTTGGCTCAACCTACACCTTTTATACCTACCACGAAAAATAGCTTTGCTGCTTTACTTTCCCAAGAAAACGAGTTGAAGCCACACAATGATTGTAAAGATGATTCTGATCCTTATTCTAAGATACCAGAGAAAAGCCTAGTCCTTTACTTGAATGAAGTACAAGACAAAATAGAAGAAAAGGAGGGCCAGTGGTAGATCCAGCCACTCATCACATTGGGGGCACGCGCCCCGAATGAATTTTTTTAGATAGTACTCCATCTGTCCCCAAATAAACTTCCCTTTTGACTTTTTGAGGATTTAAGGAAAGAATATTTTTGTGTTGACTTTCCAAAAATACCTTTGATGTGATGTGTAAAAGTAAGATGTGATATGTAGATTATTATTAAAAAGGTATGATGTGATATGTAGGGTATGAAAAAGTAAGGGGTAAAAGGGATTTTTAAGGGAAAAGAGAAGTTTATTTGGGGACAAAGAAAAAACGAAAGGGGAAGTTTATTTAGGGACGGAGGGAGTATATTATTTAAAAATAATATGATAGTTTATTTGGGGACGGAAGGAGTATATTATTTAAAAATAATATGATAGTTTACAATAGTAGGAGAAATATTCATTAAGTACATATAGAAAAAGAAGAGGAAGACTAAACTGGCTTTTCCCTTCTTGCGTTTAGTCTTTTACTTCACTCTTTTAAATGGTGGACTTGTGGATTTACATTGAGAAGGTTGCTGTTTTGCACAATCATTTTTTTATGCAACTGCGGATTCCAGATAGTACACGTTGCTTGGGGTTAAGCTTGAAGATATTATTCAGACTTTGCTCTGCCAAAGATCCACTCTGCCAAATACTTGGAGTCGATATGTTTTTGTTTGCTTTGGTTTGATTAGTGGTTGTGTACTAAGGTGCTTTTCCTTTATGTAACTTTTGGTAGGGAGGGGGCGGGAGGGGGTTGGGAGGGGGGCTGGGCTGGGGGTTTAGGGGAAGGGTTAGGGAGAGTAGGAACCATCATTTTTACAAACGAAGCACCATAGGTACTCCAAACAAACCGGTGTAAGCAACTGGTGTATAAGTAGCTGGATAATATATATATATATATATATATATATATATATATATATATATATATATATATATATATATATATATATATATATATATATATATATATATATATATATATATATATATATATATACGGATCATTGGCAAACGACCCTGAATGTTGTTTGATATTTGAAAGGGTGTCCTCGACGAGGTATTCTTCTGTCTTCCACAAATAATTTATATTTGACGGGCTGGTGTGATTCAAACTAGATAGCGTGTCCAATCACTCGTAGATCTTTGACAGGATGGTTTGTTCAACTTAGGGATTCTCCTATCTCTTGGAAGAAAAAGAAACATAGTACTATAGCACGTTCATCCACAGTGACTGAATATCGAGCTTTGGCCCTTACCACGTGCAAGCTTAAACGGTTGAAGGGACTTCTCTGCTCACTTGGTGTTATTCATTCTGACCTGATGACTATCTGTTGTGATAGTACAACAACACTACATATCGCAGTGAATCTTGTATTTCATGAACATATGAAGCACATTGAGAATGACTGTCACTCTGTCACTTTGTTCGTGATGAACTTATGTGTGGCATTATCTTTGCAAAACACATATCTACCACACAACAATTGGCGGATATGCATACCAAAGCACTGGGCAAGTCATGTTTGGAGCAGCTACTTCCCATGTTGGGTATTTCGTTGCTACATGCTCCAACTTGAGGGGTGGGTAGGGGGAGGGGTGATGGAAATAAGAATAGGGATGTAAATTTATTGTTTATTTGTTTCCTTATTGTTATTATTTCCTTTTCCTTGTATAGTATGTTTTCTAGTAGGGCTTGGGTTCCAAGCATGTGAGTTCCTCTATAAATACAGCCCCGTATTCTTATTCAATACACAGAAATATTTCCAAAATATTCTTCCTAAACATATCAGGTACTCTCAATGATTTTTTATATCATTTATTCAGCGTATATATGAATTGTTATTTTTTTCATGAAGCCAATAATTCTAAAATAAAATTCTTAATTGTATTATATGTTGACGACGAATTAAATAAAAATTATATGAATGATCATTATAATATTTTAAAATTATTTATTGTAATAACTTTAAGTTTACTTTGAACTAAATTTATATTATAATACATCAGATCATATTCAATCAGCTCATATCAAATTCATTCAAATCAAATCAAATCAGGTTTGATCACAATTCCAAAAATTTAGATCACATTCAATTAGATCACTCGTCCAGAACAGAGTCTTAAGCCATGTTCTTTTCACCTGATCTGATTGGAATAAGTTTTGATATGATCTAAATGTAATTATATTTAAAATTATTTTTGATCAAATTTTAATAAAAAATAAAAAATAATAAGAATTAGTTGATGACGATAATTGTTTACTTGAACCATCGGGTTCGGAACTGATAGGGGTGTTCATAGGATCAAACCCGGACCAAACCGACCCGGACCAATAAAACCAAGGTAAGGACCGAACCAAGGACTAGACCGACCGATTAAGATAAGGACCAGCCCGGGACCGGACAAGTAAAACCAAGACCGGATCGAGATCGGACTGAATCAATGTGATTTTTTATTTTTTTAAATTTTTTTATTTATTTAATTTAAATTGCATAAAATATTACTAAAATTGATCTTTAATGTGTAACATTCACTAAACATTGTCAAACAATGTTGTTTTTAATTTTTTTAAAAACTTTAAATAAAATATATATCCACCATCCGTATTGCATAAAATTTGTTCGTAATTTTATTCTACATTGGGATAATTCTTCTTCTTACTGCATTTTTGCTTTTTCTATAATTTTTTTAATGTTTTTGGTTTATTTAGACAAACAGATACATTTTTTTTACTATATTTCTTCATGAGATTGTTTACAATGTTTTTTGTTGATTAGAGTTTCATTATTGATAAAGTACAAACTTAAGTTATAATATTGATACATAAATTTGAAATGTATTAGATCGCTAATATAAAGGTAATGTTTACTTTTCACACTTTTCATATTAAAAATATTTAAATATCATTAGAATTGGTATCTTGTTTTGAATTGGAATATATAAACAATATTATATTAAATAATAAAATCAAAACATTTGAAAAACTTTTAGTATTAGAGTTAAATTAATTTTAAGTATAAGAAAAAACCTTAAAAAACTATATAGAAACAAATATTTAAAAAAATAAAAAATATAAGCGGTCCACCGGTCTGGACCGAAACCCGTTGGACCAGACGGGACCAAAAAAATGAGGAGAGAAGACCGGACCGGACTGGTCTGATCCGATTTTGGCCGGGTTTCGAGTCGGTCTGGGTCCTGACCGAATAATGCACACCCTTAGAGCAACTCCAATCATGGGCATCTGAAGAAGTAAAATGCTTATAACTACCATTTTTACCTTTTTTCATAAATATTGCACTCCAATCAGAGATGTATGTGAGGGAGTAAAATACCTTCATCACTTCCAAAGAGGTAAATATACCTTCATCAAGAAGAAGAGGTAAAGGAAGGAAATAGGTGGTTGGCAGGGGCGGGTACTAATGAAGAAGGAATTAATGACCAAAACCTAACATTTTGCAAGCAATAAATTAAGAAGCCGTAATTCTATGTTATAAAATGTATTTCTTAATCAAATCTTCAGTATCCTTAATCTTGTAAATTCCAAAAAAATTCAATGGTACACCCATTCTCATCTCTTTAACATACAAGTCTAGTGTTTGGGGGAGTCACTGAGCTAGAAGGTCTTGGAGAAGGAAAATTAGTTGGGGAGTTTCTTCTCTCTTTTAGTTTTGAAATATTTATCAACTAATTTTTCCCCATTAGTGTGTGGAGATGAATTTTTTCTTTCTTTTGCTTTTTGGGAAGGTAAATTTGATATTTGGAGAGGTAAATGAGATATATACCTCTCCAAGATACCTCCCACTATTAGAGCAACTCCAATGGTAAGAGGAATCTTGGAGAGGTATATATCTCATTTACCGCTCCAAATGATCAAGTTTACCTTTCCAAAAAGTGTGCAACTCCAATGAGGGAAGGTAAATCAAAAGGCAAAAGAGGGAAAAAAATCCATCTCCATACATTATTGGGAAAAATTTAGTTGATTTACCTTTTTAAATCAAATTTTAATTATTAGAAAAGAAAATATACAATCTTAAAAAATCATGGGGAGGTAAATTTGAGGTTTGTTGCCTTTGTTTCTTCTTGATTAAAATTTTAAATTTAAAGATTTTATAAAAATACAACTAATTTATTGGGGAAAAAAATTAGAATGTCAATTTTGAAATAATTAAATATACATTATGTCTAATTGCACATGTAAAATTATAAATACCCGAATAGAAAAAACTTAAAAATACAGAGTGCAAAATTAAAAAGCAAAGTATCATTTTTTTGTTAATTCTTGACTCGTTAAGTTTTACAGTTACAAAGATACAAATTAAAAATTTATAATAATACATTCAAGCAAAAATACAATAACTATAGTAATTGATGAAATAAATTTAAAAGGTGGGAAAAATTGATATAACTCCCCAAATGAAGAAGGTAAAGATGCCTCTTCAAAATTGTAGAAGGTATAATGCCTCCTTAGAACATCTCCAATGGATGTGCTAAAAATTGGAAAGCTAAATGCTATTTTAGCTTCCCAATCGTGATTTAGCATTCTACTTTTCTACCACCTCTCCAACCACATCATTTATTTTTTAAATTTTTATAATAATTTAGAATTATTTTATAATAATATTTTTCCACCAAATTTTGACTCCAAAGTCAAAATCAATTTGTGAGGTGCAATTGAAGGGGTTGGGGGTGCGTTTGGGTCGGAGCTGGGTGGAGGGGTTTACCGGGGGTTAGGGGGGTAGGAACCGTCAATTTACGAACACGGCACCGGAGCTCCCCCGGGTCATCCCATGACATTGGTTCTCAATGTCATGGGAACCTTGCTCATTTTATTTATAGCATATGACTAATGATCATCTATGTATAGAGTATGTAAAGTTAAAAATAACTAATGCTCTAAAATTTAAATGACCCATTGGAGCTCTACTTTATCTATAGTAAAGTGTAAACCATTTATTTTTTAGATGGACCATGCTACACTTACACCAAAAAATATACCCCATTTGTACACCACAGGCTTGCACAATCATTTCGATGGTTTACACCGACACAAGTGTTAAAAGGTATATATCACAAATATTTTCTTTACCCTTTCATATACCCCTCTCATTGAGTTGCTCTTAGAGTTGATCTATGAAGTGATTTGAGACTAAACTTTGAGAGCAATAGTAAATTAATAAGAAAAATGCTAGGGGTACACCTTTGGTGTACCCCATATGTCCCCCACCCCCTCCTTGTCCACTAAAAAAGGCAAAAAAAAATTTAAAAAAATAAGTAAATAAAAATAAAATAAAAATGTGTGGTAAAGAAAAGAGTGGTGTACATTTGGGGTACACCAAAGGTGTACCTTGCTCAATTAATAATGATTAATGCGTACAGATAGGATTATGCTATGTGTACCCCAAGGTTTGTACCCCAATTTGTACCCCGCAGTTTTGCACCAACACTTTGTGTTGTTGTAAAACTAATTTTCGTTAAATGCACCAACATTTGTGTCCGTGTGAATTTTTATTAACGCACCAACACTTGTGTCGGTGTAAACCATCGAAATGTTTGTGCAAACCTATGGTGTACAAATGGGGTATATTTTTTTGGTCTAAGTGTAGCATGGTCCGTACAGATATCCGACAAGGGCAGACAAGGCCCAAATTAGGATCGGATAAGCAAGCGGCCCCGTTATCTGTTTGTCCGAATGTTCGGCCTACTTACAGGGGAACGACGAGCTTAGAGAGAGGTGAGAAAAATTCGAGCACGAAGACGAAGGAGGAAACCATTTTCTACGAACTCAGAATCACCACGCGCGCGTTTTGACCAACGTGTTCACGCGTACATACCCGCGCATATCTAACCCTCTTCATTTCGACGCATTATTGCATGATATTTCTGTTCAATCACGAGCTTCAAATGCGTCCATGGCTCCAGTTGTGTTGTTGTTCTAGGGCATTGCGTTCGTTCCCTTATATTGAATTGAGTTATTCCTCCTTTGCCTCCAAAACCTAACCCTAGAATTCGCCGCGACCTTCCTGGAAGATATAATTCTTCACTTGGATTGCAATTGGAGCATTGTGCTCCCCATTTCAGGTATAACCTTTTTTGTGTTTCAGCTCTGGGGAGTTTGGTATGTAACCCTTGAATTTGGATGGTGTTTGGAATTGCCAGTTAGTGTTGTTGGTCAGGTGTGGAATGTGAAATTGGAACTCTTCATACTTTGCTTTAAATGCTGCTAGGTTTTGCTTGCTGGGTTACATGCAGGGTTACGTCAATGTTCCATATTGGAGCGTAACTTAATGCCAGGACTTGAGTATATCTTTGTGCGCCAGCTGTGGAGTTGTGATTGTTTGGAGCTTTTGTCTTTTTAGTTTTGACATTCGTGCGGCTAGCTGGAGCTGCTCGGGTAGGATTTTTTACCTTCCTGCTAATGCTCATGGCACGTACATGGCTACTAAACGTATCCTTTGCATGCACTATGCTGCAGCTGCAGGACGGGGACTCACTTTTTGGTACTGTTTGATATGCTACCTCTGGCAGATATCTAGTAGCGGGCGCAATCTAACAAATGTGTGGGGTACATTCCATAAATGGAATGTCTTTTGCCCAGGATATTGCTATGATTTCTAACCTGACTTTGATTGATATTTCTATAAGGAAAATAATCAAAACAGGCACCTCTTTTTTAGCTTTCCTATTCCTTGGATTACCTTTACTTATATTAATGCTCTATCTCTCTCCTTTTGAATAATTTGGTATTTTGGTCCAAGCGCATTGCATGTTCCTGGCTCCCAGTACTCCTGTAGAGTTGGGTCCTTGTTTTTCTTCCATTCTGTCTGGAATATCTAAAATTAGGCTTTCATCTACTATTGTTATCTTTTGTTTCTTTTTGTGGTGAAAACATTCTGTGTGATAGTAATCTAGTACTCCCTCTTTCACACAATTTTCTTCATACATTCCTTTTTTGGGCTCTCCCAAAATTTTCTTAGCATTTCCTTTTGGTATTATGTCTTTCCTTTCTAAATAAACCTCAACCACAATTTTATTTTCTAAATAAGAAGTAAGAAGAAAGAAGAAAAGTATGGGACAGAGGGAGTAATATCCAACCCTTGGTTTCTGCCTATCCATTTCGCATAGACATTTTTTGTCACACATGCATGTAACTGGACTTCACATTGATGTTTCCCTGGAATAGACTGCTGTAACTGTTCAACTATTGGCTCATATTTAAGAATGATGGAAAATGACATTAATGACTAACATATGTGGATGACAAGATTACACTAGATTGCCTCCAACAATCCTACCAACAGTCCTACCAACAACGTAACCAACCTCACATCCCATGCCTTCAGGAATTTAGAAATGTTGGAACAGAGTCCATAGTAAGATAGGATCTTTAGGAGGATATGCTTCATTTTATGTGCAACTGTGCAAGTTGACCACTTTTCAAGGAAACAATCGACAAGTCAGTCATTCAACTATTTGAAGTTTCAGTTTCTTTTAGGTTGTTTTATTGCAACTATCATGTTTTAGCTTCAACTTTATAGAGGCATTTCAAAAAGCAATTAGCATTAGACCTTTCTTTTCTTCGTCTCCTTTTATGTGCTTCAACTAGAACTCGTTGGACTGACATCAGTAATTCTGTATCCAGCCATTTTAGTTTAAGTAAAAATGTATAAATACAAACGTTCTTCCCATGCAGTATAGTATCTTAGTTACCACCTGGTTGTGATTTTGCTCTTGGAATTTCAGTTAAGGCTTGCATTAATGGGAGATGCGTAGCTGGTGCCGTTAAGGTGGGAACACATGGACATGATGCAAGATCTATTCTTGTAGTCAATGCCGAGGTTTATTCGATGGTTGGAGTTGGTATTGATACCAAAACCTCTCCACGGGGAGCAGCTATCAAGAAAACTCAAGACAAGCTCAGGTAATGCTAGCAGAATTTTTGGTCTTCATGCTCGTTTATCTTGGGCTTTTTGATATCGTTCATATGTCTTTTTCATTTCAAACATGAAACAACTTTCTTGCTTAAACAGACAGGAGTATGATGTCCTAGAAGAAAGGATAAAAGAATTGGAATTTCTTCAGAAAGTATGGAACTTCGCTTTCCTCCTAATTTAAACCAGATTCTTAACCTCGAATTGTGAATAGTTTATTTCTTCTATCTGCAGGGAGGCGATCCGCTGAACTTCAAACTTGGACATACTGTTTCAGTCAGTGTCCCGTCCACCTCACTAACTGATCAACAAGTAGATCAGTTTGTGGCTAGGTATTCAGATTGTAAATTTGCAATACCACTTGCTCTTCCCTGATTACAAGTAAATTATCTACTTTTTTTCATTCTAGTGAGACAAAAGGCAGTTTCCCTTTCACTGCTTCACCTCAAGGGGACTCTGTTGAAAGTAGTGGTCGACCAGGGAGTAGTCAACCATGCGAACCAAATAGTGCTGATAACCCCAATCTATTTAATGGTGAAAATAAATTCATTGAAGGTGAACGGACTTTTAGATGTGTTAGAAATAATATTGCTCTTCAAGCAAAGTCAACCCAGATGGCTGGAACTCATAATGTCAAAGAATTGGGGGACTCTGTAGCTCTTGGAGTTCCAAGAAAAGCATATAAGCGGCGTTACCGGACCAGACCTAGTCGTGATGGTGCTAAATCAAATTCAAATGATGTCCATACTTGTGGTGGGCCTTCATACAGTGTCACCAATGATTCAAAAGGATTACTATTTGATTTAGAAAAACAGTGGAGCCGTAACATTACTGGGCAGACTACCAGCTCAAATGGTGTTGTGACCTCTAAAGCTGTACTTTCTAATAATCATTATATGGTTGAGTTGGACACTATGAAGGCTGCCAAGCCAGTGAATGAAATGGAGAAAGTTTGCCAGCCGAATTATGTTTCAGATATTGTTTTTTCTATGGATTTGATAAATAGCCAGATAGATCAACGCTCAGTAGGTGTTTGTCAAGAAAGTCCTACTGAGATGGCTCTTGAAGGATCAGAACTGTTGTCAGTTAAAGAGAAAGGAGGGTTTGGGGGTCTTGAAACTCAGTTGTCACATATGGAAAAGGTTGATGATCAGGCTAGTTCCAGACAAATGTATGGATCTAGTAATGCAAAGAGTGATATGAAAACCATATCAAATGATCATAAACGCATCAGTGCAGCATTGGCCTCTAAGGTTTTAGATTCAGCATCATCTTGCACTCAGGCCAGTCTTAGTCTTAATGGAAAGAAAGATACTGAATTCTGTATAGACCCTAGAGATATAGATTCAACTGGGCATCTGAAGGATCAAACCCCTATTGCCGAAAGGAATTGTGTCTTAGAAAACAATGTAGTCAAACTTGTGAAAGATATCAAAACTGATGGAATTTGTGGTTTTGTTCGTGAGGAATGCAGTTCTGTTCAAAAGAATCATAAAGAGAGTGGATTTGGACCAGAACTAGTGGACTTAATTAGAAATGAATCTACCTTGCAAAGTGAGATAAAAGATGAAGTGGTTACTTGCAAAGAATCAATTAGTCCTGCTGTATTGAAAACAGAGGTAATACAAAGTTTCTTTGTAAGTGTCAATTCCAACATTCAAGATAACAATGTATGCAGTGACCTGGGTTCTTTTGATTCCTCGGTTCCATATCATACAAAGGATGCAGAAATAGTTGGAATTTCTAGCGCGTTCTATGTGGGACCTCAATCTGAGATCAAGATCAATCTTGTGACTAGAGGCGATGAAGATTCAATCTTGGAAGAAGCACAGATTATAGAGGTTGCCCTTTTTAATCTTAGAGAAATTTTACTCATGTTTTTAAATTTCAAGAATGTCATGTGTATATGTAAGTGTTTGCACGCGCACATGGTTTTGCCCACACCTACAGAATACTTATATGATTTGAAGTGCTGACAGAATTTGAAATTCAGGAAAAGCGTAAGAGGATCATAGAGTTATCTTCTGTAAACACCTTGATAGAGAGTTGTTGCAAATCTCACTGGGATTTTGTACTTGAAGAGATGCCATGGATGGCAAATGATTTCGTGCAGGTACAATGGTTTTTGAAATCCTTTTTAAAAGCTTTCTGACTTTTGAGGAATGTATTCAAGCCTGCACTTATCATGTAATGTATAAAAAATAATGATGTGATTTTTTCGGGGGTACATGTTTCCAGATTTAGCACCCTACTGTGTTGTAACTGTCTCAATTCATATAGGAGCGACTTTGGAAGATATCGTCTGCTTCTCGAGTGTCTTATCATGCTGCAACCACCTCTCAGTTATGGTTTCAAGAAATCAATGATAGTTGGAAGCATAAAAAATTATCTCACACTTTGGTTAAGGCTGTTACGGAATTCTGGCAATCAGTGAAGGTAAATTATCTCATAATATCTTTTTTATAATTCAGCGCCCATTGCCAATGTAGCTAAAAGAATCATTTTCTTACAATGTTTTAGCTTCAGGTAAATAATGGACTAAAAAAAATGGCACATTCAACCTCTCCTGCTTCTTACTTTCTATTAAGTCTAGGGTAATAGATGCAGCAGTGCATCAAGGGTCAAATGGAAACAGCCACCCTGTTATTTACAGGGGTAATAGGATTATACTGGGTTTTTGTAGTTGTTGCTGTATCTTTTTTATAGCTCTATGGACATAGTGAGGGTGCAATGACACAGTGATAGTTATCTTGTTCTGGCTGCATCTGTGGTGTATTTTATTCTTCTTCTGGTTTATTGCTTTGGTTGTGGTCCCATACTATTTTGTTTGTTTCAAGCGCACTGCCAAAGCCTCTATCTTAGAAAGTTTGTTGATATTCTGTCAAGTATTTATGTTACTTAAAGTTTTGAATACATTACTTTATTTAAATAAAAAAACAAAAAATGAAATGCAGAATTGTGTGGTATTTTTCCGAGACCGTTTCCGTCACATGTGGACTATACGCATTCTTGTAGTGTTTCATGTTCTAAATTTATTTAAGCATGCATGCTTAACTGAAATTGCTTGCCATGTATACAAGCACACGATTTTGTGACATACATTTATCTTTTAGATTTCACATCCATTGCTAATTGAGCCAAAAGAATCATTATTGACAATGTTTTCACTTTCGGATAAATAAGGGACTAAATCAAAATGGCATTTTAGACTTCTTTTACTTCTTACTTTTTTGAATTTTGGGAAGTACATACCATAGTTCTAAAAACCGGACCGGCTAGTTCACACCGGTAATCCATCACTAGTCTGGTCCAGTTTGGCCAATCACTCTTTCAAACTGTTTCTTACATTGAACCACGGCAAACCGGATTGAACCAGCCAGTTCACACTGGTTCTGATTTACAGAATAACCCTAAATTTTTAACTGCAACTTATATGGTACAACCGGCTGTACCTATCTTTTGGTACAGCCGGCTGCTGAAACGAAGCGCGCGATCAAGAACGTGGGGAGCACGGTGATGGCGTTCGTCAATCGGGGAACAAAGGGAGCATAGCGATGGCAAACCCTTGCTGCGTCGATGGGGGAACGAAGGGAACATGACGATGGCGAACCCTAGCTGCGTTGATCGGGGAATGAAGGTCTAGCTACGTCAATCGAGGATGAGGCTGAAGCAGTGAGTGCAACGGAACCCTATTGCGAATCCGCAGAATGGAGGTGGGGTGGCGGCGTTTGAAGCAGCACACAACGACGGCAGCGGTGGTCTGCTTCGAGATGGAGTTGGTGGTGGTGTGCTATGATGCCGTGAGTATTTCCTAAATAAAATTAAGTTACATGCAAATGAACATTTTATATTATTGTAGTGAACATTATGTTGTTTTCAAATATGTATACATATATTTTTATAGGTGTGAAAATGAGTATTGTATCTTGCATATGAACATTTGACGGATATAGAACTAAAATAAAAATATATTCAAAATAAATATTTTGTTGCTTAAAAATGAGTATTAGTCAGTTGTACCTTGAGCTAGGTACAACTGGTTGTACCGTATACAAACTTAGAACTGGTTACATGATTCAATTTTTGGCAAGTTACCCCTTCTAGCAGTTCCATTTCAAGCTTCCATTCAAAGACCTCCTTTGCTCTTTGAAGTTGAACAAAGTCTCATGCTTCTCTAGCACCCCAGAGCGCGGCTGAAGATACCATAACCACAGCCTTTGAGGATTGAAGGTGTAGGAGAGCTAGGGTTGTGGGGGGGGGGGGTCTCTATAATTGCAACTCATTCGTGATTTGCACTTCTTCATGTACTTCCCAATCGCTTGCTCTGGTCTCACAAGAACAATAGAACAAGTTTTAAAATTGGGCAGCAGAGAGTGAAAGAGTATCAGCAGAGTAGATGATGTAGATCTGTATCGTGGAGGGGAAAGAGAAGCTGGTGAAAGGGACTTTCAGTATTAGGGGCGAGATGACTAAACGTAATGCCATGTTTAGGTTTGTAATGCATTGCAAACTAAATTGAATTTGATTAAAGCTATTAACTGTAACATGCCTTTTACAGAGTAATACCGAGTAGGCAAGTACTACTGTACTATCATGAAGGGATTATGATTCAGTAGGCATCTAGGGGAACTTTTACCCTTCTTTGTACTTTTTATCATATTTTTGAAAATTTGATCAGACTATATTTGCAGTTTGAAACTCCGTATTATTAACAGTTTAATTTGTAGAACAAAGTATGTATTAATGTAGTGTTTTAAGAAATGTGTTTGAACCACTGGTTTGACCAGTGAACCTGTATACTCACCGGGTTGTTTTTGGAAACTATGGTAAATACAACCATACATCAGGAATCTATTGAAAACAACCTGTCCGTTTTTACATGGAGTAATGACATGTACATCTTGATCCCCTAAAACCCAACATAGTTGGGAGTATACTAGGTTTTGTTGTACTTATGTTGTGAATTTGATTTCAAGTTTTTTTATTTGTTCAATTTTGTGTGGCTTCGTTGAGATAATGGATCATTGGATTGTGTTGTACTATTGTAGCCTTTTGTAAGTTTTCTTGCGGGCTCCCATTGTCGTATAAACAGATTCAATATTTTTTATTTGTCCCAAAATAAGGGTTCACATCATTTTTATGGAAGTAGTTGTGTGACTCATATAACTTCTGTCCTTTTCTTGACTTCCAACCACATGATCTCACATTTTTTAATAAATGTCCATGTTCCAATGTGGAACCTTATTTTGGGATGAAGGGAGTTTATGATATATTTATTGTTATTGTTGTTATTATTATTAGTATTATTATTATTGGCTTCTCCAATCGACACTGCGGTGCCACTGCCTTTTTAGGACACCTATGGTGCCCCATTCGCTGAATTGATGGTTCCTACCCCCTAAATGACGGTCACCCCTGCCCCTCCTTGGATTGCTGATAGGAAATTCTTGGTATCCAATCAGCAATCCAGGGGGTAGGGGTGGTGGTGGTGGGGGGTAGAGGGTAAGAACCATCAATTTTAAGAATGAAGTGTCGTAGGTTCCCCATTTAGAGCCGGTGTCAGCCGTTGACACTCAAAGTGAGTGTCCCTAGAACCTCACTGTTTTATTACTACCTGCGTCCCACTCTCTTTGTCCACTTTTGACTTTTAGAACTGTTCATCTAAGCACTTTGACTCATCAAATTCTCTCAATGTGTAAGCCTAAATATAGTCATGTGTGATCTTGTTTGATTTGTCTTAACATATAGATTATTAATATATAATTTTTATAATTTTTTAATATACAAATTACAAGATAAAATGGATTAAAGAAGTGCATTGGATGGTGTGCCAAAAGGTAAGTGGACAAAGAGAGTGGGACGGAGGGAGTATTAATGTTAATAATAAGCACTATTTGCCTTCAAAAAGCTCAATTTTCTAACAGATAATTTAATTTCTTTTAGTTAGATTACAATATTTCTTGCTTGTAGACCAATTTTGATGATGCATGCTAAAGATCATAAGATGACCGGAATATGCTGAATTTAATTCTTATGCCAACACCTCTAGTTGTTATTGGTCAGTTCATCTTATAGAGAGATCATAAGCACTGGGTAAAATTTGTGCTTGTTGGGTACATTTCAGACTTCAGGGATCAAAGTGTTAGTCTCTTCCCAACCCACAGTCCACCCAGAATGATTATGGGTTGGAATAAGTGGCTAAACAATGGGGTTGTACTGCTTTAGATGAGGTCAGTAATTGATCAAGGGCATGTTGGGATGATTTAGATACTTTGGATCATTTAAATATGTACTCAGAATAAAGATAGAAGATTATTAAGAAAACAACATGTGCTCATGTGTTGATAATTTCATTTTTTAATAAACAAGATTTTTTAAGAACGGAAGTTCAAGGGATACCCCAAGCCAATATATAAAGTACACTAGAATAAAATAACACACTATACTTTCACCAGTATATTTGAAACTGATCCATTGGAGAATTCAGGCATTACGATTTACGAGCAAGTTATCAATGCGTGGAATTGTCATCTTTACTTTTTCTCTCTTTTTTATGACTATTCATATCTGTTGACTTTTCATTATTTGAACATTATTTTTTTAGGACTAAGGGGAACTTTGAGTTTCTCATTGCTCCTCTTTGTAACGTGTGCTTTTAAAATTAGTGGCAGGGAATGAATAAAAAGGCTGAGCTGCAAAGCCCAAAAAAAGATAGTGGTCACACTATAAAGGAATATGCTGTGGAATTTCTGAAATATAATAATTTTGATGTTCCAGACAGCCTGAATCAAGCTCCTGTAACTCCTGAAATCGAAGTATGGATGAGCCCCTATAACTTGTATACTTTTGCTAGTTCAATCTATTCTACTTATTGATTTCCACTCCCGGTCCCATAATTGTGTTCCTGTTTTGACTTGGCTTGCCTTTTAATAAAGTAAAATTGTTTTGTTGAAATTTGTTTAAAGGGGGGGAGAAATAATTTCAACCACGAAAACTTTTCAGTAAAGGAAAGGGGACAGAATTTTGAGATGGCTTAATTAGGTAAGAAGGAACAAAATTATGGGACGGAGGGAGAATGCTTTTCTCTTTATTTACTTACTTTGGTTATTTGACGAACTTTGATTATTTTGACAAGTATTGTTGTCATATTATTGGTTGACAAATCGGCGATGCGTGGGGGGGGGGGTTAGGAACCATCAATTTTACGAACGGAACACCGTAGGTGCTCCAATTTGAATTGTCATAATATGACATTATGACTTGTCAAAAGAAGGGGGTCACACTTTGTTACTAATGGATATATGGGCCATATATTTTAGAATTTGCTTAAAGACTGCTCGTTTAGTCATGCAATGATTGAATGTTGTAACCCCACATTATTCCAGGACAATCTTTTTTATACAGTATCACCTGGTGCTGCTGAAACATACAGAAAAGCTATTGAATCTCAAGTATTACAATATGAGGTAATTATACTATTATATTACCTGCCTGTTCCCCAATGGATTATTATACAAACACTTGGTTCTTAATTAATTTTCCTTCTGTCCCACTCCCACTTTATTTGTCGTAAACCAAACATTCCTCATTTACTTTGAACACCAATACCTTTTACTTCTCCTTATCCATCATTTCTCCCTCATACATTTAAAAATATTTTGATGTACCCCTCCATTTGAGGGGCAGTTTTGGAAAGTGACTTTCAATTTTTTTTTCATTAACAACCATGCTAAAAGTAAAGAGACATTATAATATGGGACAGAGGCAATTATTAACAGGCCTATGACAAATTGTTGGGACTATTACATAAATACTGCTTGTGTCATCTGACATTTGATGGTTTTTGTGTATATTTAATGTTGTCTCATCGTAGCCTGTTTTAAATTTTTATGGTCTACAATATTTCAAAGACCCTACTTTCGTGGGATTCCATTGGGTTGTTGTTGTCACATTCTGTGTGTTGACTTTATTCAATAAACTTTTATTTTTGAGCTCTTGTCGGATGAGGCTTGACAACTAGGAATTACAATAGTTGTATAATGCTGGGATATGTCATTTTGTCTGTGGAACATCTGGCTATGCTCTAATAATACACTCTCTTCTTGAGATGACTAACTGAAAATTCTTAACTGCCATATTTGTTGATGGATTTGAGGTTCTTATACCTTTTTGGTTGGTCTTTTCATCATTTCTATGTATGATTTCTTTCAGAAAATTCGCTCAAAAGTGCAAGAGGGACTTGAGACATCTGCATGTGAGACTATAGCTGGTTTGTTCTTCAGAAATTATGTGATGTCTGCATGATTTATGGTTAGCATTTTTGTTAACAATTATTTTTTCCTTCTTTAATCATGTTCTTCAGATTATGCATATGAAGAAGATGAAAGGGAATTAACAATGCATGATATGCCAGTTGCCTTTTGTAGAAGTAACTCTTCTAGGTTTTCCCAAAAGAGGAAATTATATATGAACGCTTACAGTGGAAGGTCATATGCCATTGTTGCTGATTTGTCATTCACTGAGTGCAAGGAAAATAAAGTAGGGAGCCAACGATCTAAGCCTCACCGTAAATGTCCCACCACTAGTCTTAATGTGTCCTTCCCAAGAAATTGCGTTCGGACTTGCTATGGATCAAGTGTGCTTAGTCCTTTTAATGCCGGGACATCAAGTCTTCAGGTGTCTCCGAAGACAGATGCCTCAAGTGAAACCAGCTCATTTCAAGATGATCAGAGTATTTTGCATGGTGGATCACTTGTACCAAACAGTGTAGAGGTTGAATCTGTTGGGAACTTTGAGAAGCGTCTTAAATGTGATTCTTCTGAAGTATCTATGAAACCAAAAAAGAAAAAAGTGAAGTATCCGGTATTTGATAGCTCATTGTCTCTGTAGACTAATATCAATATTTGAATGTGCTGTTTGGCTTCAAGTTTTTGTACTGCTGTTTACATCACTTCTTCTTTCTAGGGCTCTTCATATGAACAGAGATGGCTCCCTGATTCTAATTTCCAAATTGAGCAGGTGATCCTCATTTTCCTATATATTTTGCGTGGACTAGTGTCCCAACATATTGGTCTGAAGTTCTTTTCATGTAGTACTACAATGCTAAGCTTTTTTTGTCCAAATCTCTCTTACTCTTTAAACAGTCATTTGTAATTCTCTTTGTTTTTCTTCACTCCAATTGTACTGGGATCATTTTGATGGGCAATCGATGACATATGTTATTGAATGGAATTGCTTCCCATGTCCCATCTTTTTGGGACATGAGGGAGTGACATGGAAATTAAGAAATGCAAGATTGTGTGGTTGATGCTAAAAAGTAAGATAAATTAAGATGGATGTGACTTGCACAAATATACCCAAATATGGTATGAAACAAATAGTGGGATGAACAAAAAAGTAACATAGCGAGTATGAACTAGTTTTATCAAACTTCTATTTTTAAATTTTAGGCATTTTGGTTATGTATTCTAGCTAGGTTTTCATTTTTACATATGTAGTTGCTGTTGAGCTGTAAAAAATCTTCAAGAGTTCTTGTCTTACCTAGAACTCTTCAATATTCTTTTTGCATTTTTATCTTACTTAAAAGAAGCTTTACTAAATTATGGCTGGGTGTACAAGCTTAAAATAAATAATCACTCCTTCCTGCAAAGTACTTCACAGTTTGGCTTCATGGAGTTTAAGAAAAGTGTGGAAAATTAACTGTACAACAACAAACCCTCACACAGATTGGGGAGGGTACATGTACACAGACCTTGCCCTTACCAGGGAGTAGAGAGTTTGTTTCATACAAACTCAGTTAAAATTGAAGTGTGTTGTTGAAATTTGTTTACAAGAGAGATAAATGGTGAGCCACATATCCCTTTCATTGACAGGAAATGAGAAAACTGTGAATTTTATTTTGGGGAGGGTACATGTACACATACCTTGCCCTTACCAGGGAGTAGAGAGTTTGTTTCCTACAAACTCAGTTAAAATTGAAGTGTGTTGTTGAAATCTGTTTACAAGAGAGATAAATGGTGAGCCACATATCCCTTTCATTGAGAGGAAATGAGAAAAGTGTGAATTTTATTTTGAGACAAAAAGAAAGTGTGAAACTAATTGTGGGACAAAGGTAGTGTTTCATACTGTAGGTTTTATATACTCCTTTTGTCCCTCTAAAAGGTTCCACATTGCAACAACCGTAGGTATTAAGAAAGATGAAATTTTGTGCTTGATATTTATGCTGATATGAGAGGAATAATATAAACTACACAAGGAGAGAAGTAGAACTCTTTTGGGACTGACCAATACATCATGAAGATTTTTTTATAGTATATATACAATTTAAACCATGAAATCTTTTCCAGTTTCAGGGAGATTATTCCAGAAAGAGGTTAGAGCATCATCAGTTTGAGTCTAATGGCTGCAATGGTAATGCCTCTAACTCTAAATAAGTCACTGGTTTTGTTATTTAATGTATGTGACTATATGTGTGTTTTTTCCTTCGCTTATGCCTTGGAAACTGTTTCTATTTTGAAGGTATAAACCGTATAATTAATCAGCACATTCCAAAGAAACCAAAGATAATGAGGCCATCCCTGGAAACTAGTTCTGAATATAACTCTCCAATCACTGGATCTGCCCCATCTCCCTCTGCATCGCAATTTAGTAATATGCCTAACACCAATAAGTTTACAAGAATGCTTACTGGTCGTGATTTAAGCAAGAAGGCTAAAAGTTTGAAGGTATTTAGAAAAGTTAGCTCAAGTGCTGAACTGCATGGGGCCTTCATTTTACAATTGATATTTATACTTTTCACCTTCACGTCAGGTGAAGCATTTATCCATTTATAAACACTTACTGTCCTGACATGTATTGCCCTTTTCAGATGCCTGCTGGTCTGGCTGGTTCAGGAAGTCAGTGGTCACCATTTGAGGACCAGGTTGAATGTTTTGATCTTTGGTTATGTTTTTCTCTTTGCTTTCTGTCCATGTAAGGATTTAGATAATGAAATAAAATGCAATGACAGGCATTAGTGGTTTTAGTGCATGACATGGGCCCGAACTGGGAGCTTGTAAGTGATGCTATAAACAGCACTTTGGACTTTAAGGTGAGCAGCTAAGCATCTAATATCGTTTTTGAACATGTATTGTCAAGTGTTACAACCTACAAGCAGTGTTGCTATGCATGCAGTGCATATACCGCAAACCCATGGAATGTAAAGAACACCACAAGATATTGATGGTAAAAAATGTTAATGGGGCTGATAGTACTGAAGAGAGTGAAGAGACGAGATCTTCTCAACCTTATCCTTCGACTTTACCTGGCATTCCTAAGGCAATCCTTTTCTGTACATTCCTTTTCTTTTTTGTAGGAAATCAGTTTAAGAATTGCCTTTCCATCATCTCCGATGGAGCCAAAATTTCACCATTTTTTGGCTTTGGGGTGTGATGGAATAAATCAAAATGGATCTCTAAACTATCTGCGCTTCTTTAATTAATGAAGTAGCAGTTAGTCAATCAATGCAACTTTCGACGTTGAGCTGGGGGTCTCTTTGGAAACAGCCTCTCTACTTTCAAGTAGGGGCAAGGTCTGCGTACATACACCCTCCCCAGACCCTACTCTTGTGGGATTTAACTGGGTTGTTGTTGTTGTTCAGTTTAAGAATTGCAAGAAATCATGTGTTGTGGTCTGGTGTCTTGTAAAAAACCACACTAACCACCTCCTTGCGTGATGAACTTTAGAGATTAATAATACATGATCTGTGGATAAAATTATCGGTTAGGGTCAAATCACACTGGTCAAAATTTGGACCCCATATGTCAACAATTTTTTTTTTTGGGGGGGGGGGAAAGAACAGAGCACTGTAGGGTGCTAAAATTGGCCAATGTCATAGGATGACACTGGTAGCCAGTGGCACTATGATTCTTAAATTTGATGTGACTTACCTCTGTCCCATAAAAGAGTCATGTTTAGGTATAATTTTAAAATTTTCTTGAGGTACAACTATTGGAAACCATTATTTATAGCTATATTTTTAAAACTTAACGATGGTTTAACTATACTTAACACACTCAACTTTTTTGAGACAATTTTGTAATAAAAAAACATTAAATATGATAGAATTTAGATCCTGTCGTTCAAATATGACTTTTTCCCGGGCCAAAAATAACTTTCCAAACATGATTTTTTGGGACGAAGGGAGTAGTACTTTTGAAAACTATTATTCACTTGACAAATATGGTTCATGTAACATGTGCAATGACTATTACAGGGAAGTGCCAGACAATTGTTTCAGCGTTTGTTGGGGCCTGTGGAAGAGGCTACATGCAAATCTCATTTTGAGAAAATCATCCTGATTGGGCAGAAATATTTGTTTGGCAAGACTCAGGTACCATTTTTGATAACTTAGAAGTTTCTCAATAAATGTATTAGACACCACTGTTTGCAATTAACTTCACACTTTTCTTACTCTGTTTGTCCTAAAATAAATTTCACACTTCTTTCATTTCCTCTCAAGGAAAGAAATCTTGTGTCTCACAACATTTCTCTTTTCTAAACCAATTTTAAGCACACTTTACTTTTCAACACTTTTGTTAAACTCTGTAATGTGAAGTTAATTATGCGACAGAGTATATATTGCTCATTTTTTTAGATTCAATATGTATCTGTCATATGTTGTGTTCTGAGTGGTGAGAGCATTTTGTTCAGAGGGCTACTGAACTACACCATCCCTTAAAGGTCCATAATTTCCTCTCATGTACACCTTAAACTCCATGATGTACACTTGTTATAATTAATAACTTTAATTCAGTGTTCTGAGAAGTGATAAGTGGGTGACAAACGGGGGCCTAGCACCTAGGCAGCACATAAGCGGAGTAAAATCAGGAAAATCTAAGTGGCTAAGGAAAGCCTAGCGTGTAGGTGGCTCTAGGCCGAGATTTTTTAAAACACAGATTTAATTTAATATTTATGTGATGCTGCATTAAGATTTGTTGAACTCAAGCAGGGTTAGTAATTAGTTGATTGCATGCAATCCCTTCTATGCCATATCTAATTTCCACTTGGACTCTTCTGGTGACTGAGGTTGCATTCTGTAAGCCTGATCTGATCTGATTTTTGAAGTTCTGATCTGGTCTGATATGAACTGATTGGACTTGATCTGGTCCGATGTGATTTGATTGGATTAATAAGCTTAAAATTAAAATTATTATTATAATAGTAATTATAGTAATAGAAATATTAATAATTGTAATAAGAATAGTAATAATATTAATAACTGTAATAATAATAGTAGTAGTGGTAGTAGTAGTAATATCTGGTCTGAACATTGTTATCTGATCTGGTTTAGTAATAATATCATATCAAAATGTTAATATTAGACCTCTTATGCTTTTTTAAAAAAGAAAGGGAAAAAGACAAAAGTAGGGGTAAAATATTGAAAATATACCAAAATAGGACTTCCATGGTTTTATTCTCGAGATAGGAGTTAAAATGCATTTATATTACCAAACATGGTCATGTTCATCACCAAAAAGTACAGTAATGTGCACATGTACAATGCCACATTACAACGACATTACCACCACATTACCACAGTACGAACTCTTATTTCGGGAATAAAAACATAGAATTCCTATTTTTGTATTTTTTTCTATGTTTTAGTCTTATTTAGGACGATTTCAACTATTTCAAGTTATTTTCTATAGATGAATTTAATTGATACTCCCTCGTCCCAATGTTTTTGTCCACTTTCCTTATTTAGTAAAAATTCAGACTGGAATTTGACACTTGCCCTCTAATTTGATTCAGCTTTTAAACCAATTAAATCTAAATTTGAGACCAAAGCATATGAGAGACTTCCTATCCACCATTGAAGACCACTGACGCGAGGCAAAGCAATTATGAGAAGTTGAAAAAAGTCAGTTTCTGCAATCGGATCTGAGACTTTCTCTCCATTCAAAAATAAATAAATTAAGAAATAAATAAATTCAATAGCGCTGACATCCTTATTTCAAGAAGAAGAAAAAGCTCAACTGCGAGGAGCTGCTGAGAACCTACCGGATCTGGATATGCCGTTGAATCACCGGAAAGACCAAATTGATTTTTCATTAGATTTGTTTTTCGGTTCTATGAATCAAGGTCGATTTTCCATCATTTCTGATGGAGCCAAAGATTCACTTTACTTTTCTCTTTAAACTGTTTGCACCTCATTTCATAGTGAAGTAGGAGTTAGTCAATCACCTACATTACTGGAGTAATATCCCATTTCGTAATTCCTCTCCATAAACAAAGCAACTAGGAGACTGACTACAAACAGTAAGATGTTGGGCATAGAAGAAATCGTTGCAATATAATCCTTCTTGGGATTTACCTGTCTAATCACTCTTCAGTTTATGCTTGTTTAGCTTTGTATTGATCATGATGTCTTTTCATTTTTTATGAAGGGTAAGCAGGATCCTAAACAACTCCAGCAACCTCACAGTTCTCATACAAATGCTCTTTCACAAGTTGTTCCAAATTACCTGAATGGAATTATTTTGACGTGAGATCCTACTCAACCCAACACTATTGATAACTATAATACATTGCAATTTGATATGAACATTTTTTTGTCAATATTAGCCTTCATTTGGTTTTCTATTACTGAAGGCCTCTGGACCTTTGTGATGCACCTTCATCTAGTCTTGACATCTCATCCCTTGGATTCCAAAATCCACATTCAAGTGGATTACCTGTTTCAAATCAGGGTTTGGGGCCAATGTCTCCGTCTGGTGCAATATCTGCAACAGTGCAAGGGTCTCTGAATGTGATTCATGGAAATGACTTTTCTTCACCATCAAGTACACTGAATGCCACTGTCAGGTAAAGGGGTGTTATTTTATTTTCATAAAACAAATAGGTATTTCTGATATTGTATCCTGCTTTTATTATGTTAAGTGTCCGTTTGATTTTAGTTATTTTGCTGAACTGAAATGGCTATTGCTGAATTTTCTGACAGAACTTGCAATAATAGTCTGGTAAAATCAATTTCAGCAAAATAAATAAGTCAAAGGTTACTTATTGTGATTATTTTGCTATCAGCATTATAAGCCGATTGGTGCAACCAAACGAGCTTGAATCACATATCTCTCCTATCTCAAGCTCATTTCTGGTAATCTGATTTAGAGCTGCTAAATATGTATATAGATCCACATCTATGCTACTTGGGAGAAGCATATCCATTTCATCTGGTTCCGGAGCTCCTCAGGGGCCTGGTGGTGGTGGGATCTGTGTGCTGCCTGATGGAAATGGCATGGGGATGATCTGTGGTATGAATGGAGGCATGCCTACAGCCAGGCATGGCTTTCAAGGAATTGACTCACCATCTATGCCGAGTTCTGGGAGTATGACTTTTAGTATGGTAGCAATGCCAAACACGGTAAATATGCACCCTGGAGTAGGCTCTGGTCAAGGCAACTCAATGTTGAAACCTCATGACAACATGCATATGATGGGGGTTAGTTATTTCATGTTTTTCAAAAATTTATCTCCAGAATGTATTGATCTCCTTATATAAGTGCTCACTTTTGCAATAAAAGAAGAGTAGTCAAGGGATAATCACCCATAATTAGTGTTATTAATCTTTTATATTAATTCATGTTATGACCTCAGATTTTGTGAGCTCACAATAGGTGCCATTGCACAAAATGAGAAAAAAAAACAATTATTTCATTTGCATGTGTCAGGGGCTTTGTTCCCATGGGTAGTTCTAATTATTCTATTAATTAACCTCAAGTGCAAACACGAGTACATAACGTGTAGGCCCTACCTGTTTGTTTTGCAGCCTGTCCAAAATCAAGAAACTCCAAGGCAGATGATGATTGCTGATCTTCAGGTTCAGGACCTCAGCCATGATGTACCACCTCCGTTTGGGGGTTTAATTACCTCTTGCTCCAGCCAAGATGTACCGCCTCCGTTGGGGGGTTTTATTCCATCATACCTACCTCATCATCATCAGTCCTCTCAATTGTCACACATGCGTAGTAGTCCTCTTCATTCTCATGCTCCAGGTGCTGCCAATCATGCCTGCAACACACAGCAACCTAGTTATGCATCACCTTTGAAAAAAGAAAAACAAATGCATCGGCGACATGTACAACAAAAGCAGAAGTTTAATACATCAAACTCTTTAATACGGTCTGTACAGCAACACCAACTTCCTTTGTCTCCCCCATTTCATAGTAGTCTCCAAATCACATCACGAAGTCCTCCACATGCATCACTTTCTCCTTTGTCGTCAACTTCCTCAGTTGCTTCAATGCCGCAACACCCTTCAAAACATTCTATGTCGCGTCATGGCCATTTCCAAAGTGCTCAAAATGGTCCCACAACTAATAATTTGAGCAAACAACAGCAACAAACCAGCAGGAAACACCCTCAGCAGCAGCAGAATATCAAAGTTTCAAAGGGAGTAGGGCGAGGGAATGCATTGAATCAGGACATGCAGATGTACCCCTCTGCGTTGAACCAAACCTCATTAAATTCAAGAACCACCATAGCTACAGAAAAAGGTGATCAGCTGACTAACTCAGTGCAAAATCAGGGACTGTATACTGGGTCAGCAACAAATGATGTTTGTCCTGCAAAATCATCATCTGCTCTTGATGTAGGACAGCCTCCGCAAAAGATGCATCCTGGCAAAGCTGCAAAAAAGCGACTTAAGCCAATGGCTCCTCGTTCTGCTAATAAGAGTAAAGTTCATAGTATGATAACTACATTGGAGTCAAGCCCACCTGCTGTCTATCACTCTATTGCAATGCCAGTCATCAGATCTTCCAATCACCAACCTCTTCCACATTCACAGTCTGAGGTGCACACACAAAAAAAGTTATTAGATGAAAGTCACACTAATGAGTCTGAATTCAATCAGCATACTGTGAGCAAATCTACTCCTATTGGAACAGTTAAGGAAACAGATAGTGAGTGCAACATTGCAAATAGTGCAACATCTCCTAATGTTTCCCAGTTGAAGGCTGCTGAACCATTCTTTGACTCAGTGGCTTCTCTTCGAACTACTGCTGCTGTTTGTGAGGATTCTTCTCTAGGTATTCAGGGGTTGAACCAGAGGCTATCTTCGGGCGGTTTGTCCCCTGTGGGGCATGATGCTAGCTTGCAGTGGGAGGCCCAGCAGCAACAGCAATAGCTTCGCCTACCCTGCAACATTTTTGCTGCAGCCACGGGTTTTGCAATCAGGAAATAGCAGTTTTCTTGTCCCTGACTCCCAGTTCTTGTTGATTGGATTGATGTGCACCCAGCAAGATTGGGAAGAACCGAAGAAATCTCATGGTTGCTTGTCATATCCCTACGACTGGGTTGGCATGTGCTAATAATTGTAGTGTGCAGGTCAATATTCCTTTTTTTATAAATATGCACCAATCATTCTGTTTGATAGTGTATAGCAGTATTTTACACACATCACCCACTTGGGCTAAATTTGCAGTTTTTCCCACTGTACACATAAAATTATCATTCATTCTGTTGCAATGAATTCTATTCACTTGCTGAGTCTTGCTTGTTGTGCTTTGCAGGTGAAATCCAGGTTTTGCTAGACTAGGGATGTCTATCTGCCGTTGGTTGTAAGTAAGATAGCACTAGATATAGAGGTACATACGTGTACAGCTTTTTTTCTTTTTTTATTTTAAATATTAACTTTCTTAAACCCTTGGTTCCCCGGTACATCAAAGGGGTGCTATTTTTCTTGTGTTGTTATTTCAGTGGTAGTTCATTCCATGGTTTATGGCTACCACTTTTGTGAGGGGGTAGCTATAATTTCTATAGAAAAATGAAGCTGGATGCTGTGAATATGAGCCTCTTAGTGTATACATACTATAAATGCATCCAGCTTATCCATGTTGTGGTCTATTATGGTTGCCCTCTGGCACTGAATTATTTATAAATCTTTCCGTTAGATTAAATTCAATCAAATCTTATTTTGAGATCTCTCTGTCTATTGTACGTGGCAATGTGCAAAGGTATAAGACATGTAATTCGTTAAGTATAGGCCTTTAAGAACAACATATCAAATGCACCCTGAGCTAAAAAAACAACAAATCAAATGCCCCCTTTGACCAGATACCAGATCAGAAGAAATAAGATCAAAACCATTTAGATCATATGAAGAAAATCAAGCCCGGCCATACATCGGTGATCTCGTTCCTGATGATTATTTTTTCATCATATTTATTTCAACCCATGCTACACTAACACCAAAAAGTGTACTCCAAAGTTACACCAAAGGTATACACTAACATTTTGATAATTCACACTGACACAAAATGATGGTGCGTTAACAAAAATTTGCACTAACATTTTGTATCCCTTTGAGTAATCACCCTTGCATTATAGTGATACAAAATGAAGGTGCGAACATGCAGTGTACAAATTGGGGTACAAATAGTTCAATCCTATTTATTTTGTAAACTTACATCATTCAAAATTGTGTACGGAGTACATAGTTGCAATAGTGATGCAAAGAACCGCCGGGGCCACCAGTCATGTGTTGCCTTACGACTGCTATGAAATCTGGGTAAAAAATGATAGAATATGATGATGGTAGCGCTGTGTTTGGTTCATGGATTCAGGTAAGAGAAGCAAACGAGACAAATTATTTTCCATATTACTCTGGATTTGTTTTTCTTTTCCCTTTACACGCAATGCTCCATGCATGCTACACAATGTCTTCGTGAATGTAGAATAGTTTTCGTCCAAAGTATAGAGTCTCTGCAAGTACTTGGTGCAAGTTCATTCTTTGCCAGAAATGTGATTAAAGCCTAATTTCGTTAATCATTTTTTTAGAATGGTGTGACATAGAATGCGTGTTATATACTCCCCCCCATAGGTTCTCATTACGCATTATACACTAGTCCTTAGAAAAATTGATCCGACCAGTTTGTTGAAAGAACACAAAAATAATCGACCCTGAAATGACCCATAAAAAATGGGTCATAATCGACTGAACCTGAATCTGACTTAATGATCTGCGAAGGCAAAACTTTTAAAAATTTTGTACTATTGTATGAAAGATAATGTATGAAAATAGAGTTATGTTTTAATGTTTTCCTCATTACTTATTTGTACTATATAAACTTAAAATTTTAAACAAGTTTTTAATGATATCACATAGTTATCAAATATTTTTAAATTAATACGTATTTAATTTTTATATTATTCACAATATTATTAAGTATATGTGAACGTATTTAAGTTTTTTTATCATTCATAACATTATTAAATATATCTAAAAAGTAATTAAAAGTTCAAAACAAAGTATTCTAAGAGCTTTAAGAAGTGTATGTTGATATTTAGTGTTAGTATAAATCTTAATATTATACAAATAAATCTCATATGCGTTGGATTGACTCGAACCTGATGAAACTGGATCATTAACATGTTGCGGCGATGAGGAAGACCAAAGAAGAAGACGACCCCCAAAAATACACCGATGAACGATCAGAGTAAGAAGAAATTACCAAAGGAATTACCAAATAACACACCGATGAGTGAATCCAGAGTTTCGGAGAGCAATTCTAAAGAATAGGCTAATTCCGCGAGTGCAGTTCAACTGGAACAAAATGTGGGTGAGGTTACAGATCTGTCGCCACAATCAAAGGATAAGGAAGATGTAATTCAGGATCAAAATGTGTCGGAGGCGATCCCTTTGCAGGAGGGGGCACCCTCGTATTCAGATGTTGTAGCGGGAGTCATTGATCTGGATCTACACTTTATCCCGACATCTGAGGTAAATGGGAACTTAGTTGCACAAATTACTGCGGAGGATGTTATTGAATCTATTGATTACTACGGAGGATGTTGTATTCTGGGTGCTAACCCACCACTAGAAGTGGTAAAGGGCTATGTCAATCGTATATGGAACCTATTTTCTATAGATAGCGTGGATGTTCTAAAGGAAGGACAATTTATAGTGATATTTTCAAAAGAAGAGGATATGAATGAAGCTATTAAAAGGAAGTATTACCAGTTTGATAACAAATCTGTTCTAGTTCAGCAGTGGAAACCTGGAAAGAAGATTAACCTGGAAGAATTGATAGATGTTCCTACTTGGGTCCTTTTCCCAGATTTGGATGTTAAATATTGGAGTTTGTCTGGATTAAGTAAATTGGGCAGTCTGATTGGAAAACCAGTTAAAAGGGATAAGGCAACAACTAAGATGACTAAGTTTGCTTATGCAAGGATCCAAATTGAAGTTAAGATCCAAATAGAATTTCCACAGGAGATGGTATTCATTGATGAGTCAGGTCGAGCAATATCTCAAAAAGTAAAATATGAGTGGTACCCCTGTATATGCTCTCATTGTAAAAAGATGGGACATATGCAGGAAATGTGTAGAAAGAAGAATACTACAGCACAAAATGGGAAGAAGATGGTTTGGCGTCCTATGCAGAGAGAGGTTATTACAGAAAAGGATGAAGAAGAGAAATAAGAACTCCCCAAACTGGATAAGCAGGTGGAATGGTGGATGACCAGAGAGCTCCTAATCAAAGCTCTCCCAGTGAGGAAGAATTCACTATTGTAAGTGGGAAGAAAGTTGCCAGGAGATTAGTATTGGATAAGGAGGAAAAAGACTTTATGAGTAGCTTACAAAAATTGCATGAAAAGACCCCATATGAGGGTCATTTTCTCATTCCTAAAATGATTGGATGCTAGAATGTTAGAGGAGTCCTAACAAACAAGAGGAAGTTCTCTTCTTCAATAGCCTTGAAGTTATTTTTCCTTATTTCAGTTTCTAGAATTCTGTGGTTTATTAGAAACCTAAATAAGGGTAAATCACTTCAAGGCTATTGAAGGGAAGATATGCCAGGGGTGGAGCTCCTTCATTAATTACACTACCCATCCTTTGGGCAGGATCTAGGTGATATGGAAACCAAATAAGTTTAGAGTTACTGTTGTGACCTGTCTGATCAATGGGTCCACTGAGGTGTAGATGGCTAAGTGAGGATAGGGACATTCTAATGACTTTTATCTATGGACATAATGAGGCATCCAAAAGAGCAGCCCTGTGAAAAGATATTGAGAGAATTTTAGCAACCTGTAATATGGCCTAGTGTGTGATGGGAGATTTCAACAGTGTGTTGGATATATGGAAGATAAAATTGGTGGTAATCCTGTATCCTGGAATGAAATCAAAGACTTTAGGCATTGTAATCAGAAATGTGGGTTGGAGGAGATTCCTAGTGAAGGGCCTAAATACACTTGGTCTAATAGACAAAGACCTGGTAAAAGGATCTACTCAAAGATTGACAGGGCACTGGCTAATGTTGAGTGGTTTTTTACCTTTGATACAAAGATATTAGTTAAAGAGCAAGGGTTATCAGATCATTCCCCTCTTATTCTTAAATAATGCAAGGCTGAGAAAAGAAAACTATCCTTTTAAATTCTGCAACATGTAGACACTGGACCCTCAGTTTCCAATTATTGTGGAAAGAATCTGGAGCCTTGAAGTGGAAGGAAGGCATATGTAGCAGTTAGTATCAAAACTTAAAACCTTGAAGGCAAGGAAGGCCTTAAAAAACTGAATAAGAATAAGGTCTCCTCCATCTTCCAACAATGTAACTTGTTGAGGGAAAAACTATTCCAAATTCAGGATACAATCAAAAGAGGTGATACTGGTGAAACTACTATCAAAAGGGAGATGGAGACCATTAAGGGTCTGAATTGGAATTTGAAAGCAGCAAGACTCATGAAGATCCAAAAAGTGAAACAAGAATGGATTCAAGATGGGATAATGACTCCAAATTATTCCATGCCTGAATTAAAAAGAGAAGACTGATTAATCATATTGGGTCCATTAAGAAATCTATTGGTCAGTTGGTGGATAATAAAAATGGAGTGGCACAAGTTATGATAGATTACTTCTAAAAATTATTTGGCAGAACTAAAGGGACTGAAGACACTAACCAGAACATTATTAAGGAAGGTGGGGTTTTATCCATTGATCATCAACTTAATCTGATTGCTCATATTCTTGCTAAAGAAGTGAAGAAATGTGTGTTTGATATCCCTAGCTGTAAGAGTCCAGGCCCAGATGGTTATAACAGTGGTTTCTTCCAAAACCAATGGGGGGTGGTTGGTGACCTAGTAACTAGAGGAGTGCTAGATTTCCTTGAGGGAGTAACTCTATAGCAGATTAATCATATTAATCTTTGTCTCATCCCCAAAATTGACAATCCAGAAAGACCTAGTGACTTTAGGCCTATTGTTTGTTGTAATGTAACTAGTATCACACCCGTGCGTTGTACGAGTCATTTTTATGTTGTTAAATTCAAATCATTTTTCAATGATAAAAATGAGATGCAATAGAATATAGAGATCATATTATTCTAAGATAAAAAACATCACTGCTTTGCAAATTTCGAAAGACTTCTTTATAGACTACATTATTTGTACAATTTGTGGGAATATTGTCTTCATTGCATATCAGAACGTTTACATATAATTATATTCATTTTTTTAAAGATTTATATGTAAAATATAAAATATGTAAACTTTTACCGCTCTTAGTTTCATCATCAATAATCCTGACCTCTCATCAACAATTTTTAAAGCAGTTATGATCCCCATGTGTTCGTACGAAAAGCGATGTTGAATCACCGAATTAAAACACACGTTGATTAATCTTACTACATTGGCCTGGAAAAGTACCGTATTTATAGTATATAAAATTGCAACAGGCTATAAGCTATTATAATAATAGGGTCAAAGTTTTTCAAAATTGGGTGTATAATTATTCTTACCATAATTATTTTTTTTACAAAATTGGGTTTATAATTGTATAACTTACCTTTTTAATTATTTTCTCTTGACAAAATCTTATGCTTTGCAATTGTATAACTTACCTTTATTAAAAACTTACGCTTTGGAATTGTATAACTTACCTTTTTTAATACATTAATTATTAAAAAAGGTAAACTCACATTTACCTTTTTATACTACTCACGCTTACCATTTTATATTACTCACGTTAATTACTATAAAAATAATAGCTATATTAACTTCACGCTTGCACAAAAAAAAGTTAAAAATGGCACTTAATTACTTATTCTTGCAAAAATTTTGGAGGTTTTCAATCAGTACTCATAGTACTTATTTATACCCAAAATAATTAGTACAATCCATACGAATTGAAAGCATTGTGTTTTGAAAGCAATATTCCTTTTTTTAAAAAAAATTCCCTTTATAAAAATAAATTTAAAAGCATTGTGTTTTAAAAGTAATATTCCTTTTTTAAAAAAATTATATTTCCTTTTGTATAATATTCCGTGGCATCATTATTATTGAGGATTTAGAACTACCTTGATTAGAAAAAATCCGTTCAGTTAATATTAATTAACAATTATAAATTGTCATATTATCATCGTTGTTCCTTTTTTAAAATGATTACGTGTTAAAACTATTCGTTTTAAAAAGGAAATTGGTTAATACCGTGTGATAAAAAAGGAACTGTATTGATTATAGCTTTTAAACCATTTTTTAGATTTATAATAAGAATAATAATAATTATTTTTTAGATTAATAATATCACGTTTTTAAAGGCATTGTGTGTAAAAAGTAATGTTAATTTTAACTTCACAATAATTAACTTATCTTTCCATCATTTTAATTTGCCTTTCTTTAATTATTATAAATATAATAATTATAATAATTATTATTATAATTTTGGTCACTTACCATTTTAACTTCACAAGCCATTTGTAATTGGCATACTCTTTGGGCGGGAAAACCATATGTTGACTCCATGTCTTTTTAAATAAAGTATGGATATACAAGGTGATATCCAAAATTATATGCAACATATTAAAAGTGGTCCTCCCCCATATTATCAATACTAATCAGGGTGTATTTATTGAGGGGGAGAACTTGTCCACAATGTCCTTCTTTGCCAGGAGCTAGCTAGGGGTTACAACAAAAGACACATCAGCTCCAGATGCCTAATGAAACTGAATCTAAGGAAAGCTTATAACTCTCTAGTTGGAAGGGATTGTTTTAGATCATAGAAGCTCTAAAATTTCCCAAGAAATTTGTAACATGGATCCAGTTCTGTGTGACAAGTGCAACATGCTCAATACAAATTGATGGAGAAGTCTTTGGGCATTTCTAAGGGTGGACACGGTACGGTTCCAGGACGGTTCCGGTTCCGGAACCGCCGGTTCCGGTACCACCACCCCTTGATACCAGTACCGTGACCGGACCGGACGGTACCGGTTCCGGTACCCGGACCGGCCGGTTTCGGCAACCTCCTTTTTTTCTTTTTGTTTTAAATCATATGGGAAATTCTTTTTGTGTTTGTTAAACATAGAAGGATGAAAATATATGTACACGGATTCCTACAAGTCAGGTTCCGCATAAGGCAAGAATATAAATTAATTATACTACTACCATATTTACAAAGTGAAAGGCTCAATATATGCTAAATCAATGGTTTCCTTGTATGCATAGCTTGCCTTCCGTAGATAAATGCTAAGTTAAAGGTTTCCATATATGTTGATATACATATCCGTCTAAAAGGAGAGGTGGAAACCGGTGAATTTCTTTATGGATTAAGAGGAGAAGGAGAACAGATTTACTTGTTCATCCAAACCTGGAGTTCTAAAAAGAGAGGTGGAAAGTGGAAACCGGAACAAGCAAAGAAAAATACAAAGGGTACCGGAACCGGTACCGGTACCGGTACCGCCGGTGCCAGTACTAAAATACTGGCACCGGAACCGGTATCAGTACTAAAATACTGGCACCGGAACCGGTACCATAGGGGGCGGTGCCGGTACCGGTTCCCGGAACCGGTGGTACGTCCCGGCCGGCGGTGACGGTGATCGGTACCGGCGGTACCGTTTCCGGTTACGGTATCGTACCGGTACCTTGTCCACCCCTAGGCATTTCAAGGGAGGAAAGGGCCTTAGACAAGGGGATCCAGTATCCCCTTGCTTTTCACCCTTGTCATGGAATACTTAACAAGAGTCTTTTTTTCTACTCAAACAATGACAGATTTAAATTTCATCCCAGGTGTAAGTCCCTTAAATTAATCAATATTGTGTTTGCTAATGACTTAATTGTTGCCTGTAAAGGTGAAGTTGAATCCATTGAATGCATCCTCTCTAGTCTAAGGTACTTTAAGAACACTATGGGCTTAGTTCTCAACTATGACAAATCTCAAGTTTTCCTGGGTGGTGTTTCTAATGATATCCATAAAGAGATACTGAAGAGAACTAGGATGTCTAAATGAGATTTTCCCTTTAGATACCTAAGAGGACCTATAACTACATCCAAGATAAGTGAAAGGGACTGTGATGTTTTGGTGGAAAAGCTTACCAGGCAAATTACATCATGGACTTCTAAGAATTTGTCTTATGCAGGTAGAGTTAAGCTTATTAACTCGGTTTTGTATGGGGTGATTTTTTTTTGGATTAGGATCTTCTTGATACCTAATAAGGTAATGAAGAAAGTAATGGCCTTTGTAGAAATTATATTTAGAGTTCCTCTCCCGAGTATAAAAGATGCCCTCTAATTAATCGGGAGGAAGTCTGCCTACCTAAAAATGAAGGCGGTTTGGGGCTGAAGAATCTACTGAAATGGAATCAAGCTTGCATTATGAAGCTAATCTGGGATATAACTAATAAAAAAGACACCTAATGGGTCAAATGGATCCACAACAAATATTTGAAGGGGCCTACTGTTTGGGAATACTCTCCCAAACATGATGATTGCTACTACTGGAAGAAAATGCTCCAAACAAGGAGGTTGTTTCAAGGTATGCCTGCAGTGCCTAATTATGATGTTAAGTTAGGATATGATTGGATTAAAAGAATGCATATAAAGGATGACTGGAGTGAACAGGTATGGAACAAATGGTCTATACCTAAATATAGATTTATTGCTTGGCTTATCTGGAAGGGGAGAATCCTTACCAAGGACACATTGAGAAGATTTATATATATTGATACTAAGTGTGTATGTGTGAGGGTGAAGGAGAATCTGCGGCCCAGCACTTGTCCTTTTGTGGTATCTGTGCATAGAGATCTTTATTCATGGCTGAAGTATAACCTTGCCTCTAATTCACTCACTGAACTGAAGGAGAAAATGAGTAATGGCAAGAATAGAAAAGACAAACTATTGATTGCTTCGAGCATAGTAACTTGATGCTACTATGTTTGGAAGACAAGAAATGCTAAAGTACATAACAAGAAAGATGAGTCCAGTGCAAGCGTATTTGAAAACCTGAAGGCTAACCTTATTATGGCAATAGGGCATAAGAGAAGGCTACCGCAGTGACTAGAACTGAGTAATGCTACTATTAGTATTAGTGTTTGTAGTAGCCTATTCCTGATGTAATCTTTAGCCCTTGGATTGGGGTAGTGTACGAACTGTTTGGTGATTAATATATTGTGCTTTGTTCAAAAAAAACATATAATTCTCGACCCGAATTCAAAATTGCCTAAATCTAATATAACTTAGACCTAAGCTGGTCGAATTCGAACCTGACCTGTTTGGTGATTAATATATTGTGCTTTGTTCAAAAAAAAATATATAGTTCTCGACCTGAATTCAAAATTGCTTAAATCTAATACAACTTAGACCTAAGCTGGTCGAATTCGAACCTGACCTGATTGACTGACTCTCCACGCCTAATTACGAGACTTGAGACATTTCAATTCAATTAATTTGATTTTAAGTATAAAATTTAATGAGTAATAAATACTTTAACATAATTTTTTTATAACAAGAAGTATCAAGACTATATTATTTTAAAGAAGTTAACCTAAATAGGAGTAAAACTTAGATAAAATACCAAAATAAAAATTTTATATTTTTATCGCCAAAATAAAAATTTACACTGGGATAATGTGATACAATACAAACATTTCACAATATTTTTAGAATTATATATTGACTTGATTGACATTACATTAGCGTTTTAACTCCTATTTTGATATACTGTTATGTTTTATTTCTACTTTACTCTTTTTCCTAATATTTTTTGAATTTAATAGTAAAAATAAATCAACAAAATGAATTAAATTAAGAAATTACAAGTACTTCTTCCATCCCAGAGCTATCTTCTTGTTATTTTTTACTTGGTCAATGGTTTCTAACTTTGATTATAAAATATGTAAAAATATATTGAATTATAATATTAATTTACAGCACGTTTGGTGAGTTTGGAGATATGATAAGATATAAGTTATGAAATCAAAAAAATGATGTAAAATTTGAAATCTAAAAGGGTAACGTGCAATCGATGCAGTTGAGAGTGACAATGGTAGACGTGACAAAAGATAATCAATGATTGAGAAAGATATTAAACTCACATATTGAAATCCTCCCAATTCAAAAGATATCGAAACACTCTATTTGAAAAATCTGTGATATCTAGAAATATCAAATTTGATATCTTTTTGGTTTCACAACACCCAAAAGAACTCTCATGTCTAGAGATATCAAAACTTATATCTCGTTTGCTCACCAAAGGCATCCTTATTATAAACAAATTTATTTTGAAATAAAGTTTAAGAATATCATATTTTAAGAATTTAAAATTATATGTAAATAGAAATATTAATCATCGAAGTAGTGCATTAGAAATTGTAAAAAGCCCAAATATGAAAAAAAAAAAAAGTCAAATAGAAACAAATATTCAGAAGGGGGCATCATATTACGTATGAAACATAATTTTGGGGAGTAAACGTTTATAACGTACAAAGTGTAAAACAAGTCCTACCTACCCCCATTGTGTTGCAACACTTAAGTCGCCAAACACAATATGAGAAGGAAGTATATATAGCCTCCTTCTACATTGATGCAGAGATGGAAGATGAAACTGCATTGCAGTTGAGCTGATGAGTTATAGACAACAATGGCGGAAAGTCATTCCTTTTAGCATTTCTTCTTGTTGTTCTTATTATTGATGTCGGCAGCCCTATCGCCGGATGCCGCCGCCTTCCTGGCCAGCTTTTCTTGTAGTGCCTTGGCGTCCCGCCCCCTTCTCTGCTCGGGGGTCAATCCATCTTCCTTAGGGTTCTTGGGCTTCTGGCCTGACCTTGCTTGTGCCCTCTCCCGGTCTCTTTCCCTCTGATTGCCCCGTTCCCTTTCGTTAAGGCTCAACAACACAAATCATCTCACAGGCTGATGATTGTTTCAACAAGAATTCCATGGATCTTCATAGCTACTTCCTCCTGGACTTGCAAATCGATCGGTGAGATCGGATTCGGTCACTTTTAAATTCGGGTTGCATCGAATTCGAATATGTTTGGTTCGAGTCAAAAACTATATGTTCATGACCCGATATCATATCATCAAATTCAAATCAACCCAACGGGCTGTGAAACTTATTTTTAGAATACTAAAATTCAAACTTTGTACTAGAAAAAATTACATAATATAAAAATACATACATTAACATCCTTGAGATATTTTATTTTGAACTTTTAATTACTTTTTAGATATGTTTAAAAATATTATGAATAATATTCAAAATTAAATATATACCACTTAAGAAAAAATATAAGATAATTATAGATTATCACTTCTCTTACGTTAACGGATTGATCAAATCAGATTTGAAGTCAGTCTGGTTTAAAGCATTTTTAGCGGGTCATTTCGGAAACAAGTCAAGATCAATTTTCGCCAAGTACTTCTTCCATCCCAAAATAAAACTCTAACTTTTTGTAGTTATTGTTAATTTAATATATTCAAAAAAACTGAAGCAAAATTTACACAAAATTCTAAGAATTCAACAAAACAGGGCGATATGACTATTATATTCTCATATTAGTGATGAAAATAAACAAAAACACAATTGATGAAGTTCGATCCACCTGGGAGTTTTATTTTTGGGACGGAGTTAGTAACATTCCTTCGAAAGTTTTAGGCAATCCAAATAGCAAAAAAAGATCGATCTATTAAAAAAAATCAGAGAGGAGAAACATATCAAGAGGATATGAGACATTCTCGATTTTTCCGACTGCCAAACAAGGATCTGGATATTGAAGTCCCTGCTTCGAGAGACTCAAGAGAATATAGACCCCTGCAGAAGAAAAATAATAATAATAATGATGATGATGATGATAATAATAATAATAATAATAATAATAATAATAATAATAATAAAGCTGGATCGATGAAGGCGTGATGAATTTCAGGGACTGATTTTTACCTGATTACGGAAAGGCGGCGATGATTGCTCAGAGAGAGGCACTTCCAACTTCTTATTGAATTATTGAAGAAGAAGAAGAAGATGAAGAAGAGGAAGATGATTGGGCAATCTCAGAGGGTAAATGGCCTGGTATATTTAAAGCGTCTAAAAGGGATTAATTGTTTGGCAATCGGTTTCTGGAAGGATCCAGAGAAGACGGTGTTTTTTTTCCTTCTTACGGTTCTTTTATGGAAGGATCCAGAGAATATGTCCCCACCCCTCCTCGTCCACTGAAAAAAGGCAAAAAAATTTAAAAAAAAATAAGTAAATAAAAATCAATAAAAATGTGTGGATGAAAAGAGGGTAGTGTACATTTGGAGTATAACTTTTGGTGTATCTCTAGCATTGCTCTTCTTTTATTTCAATTTTTTATGGTTAATAAATGGATATAAACAACAAATAACTATTCACCGAGACACCCACTAACCTAATTCTTACGTAATCTTGAAATTTATTTTTATTTTATGAATATTAAGGTCTCTTTGGAATTTGAGATTAACACCACTAGAACTGAATTGAGAATCGAAATTCTATGGAATTGAATTTTCCAATTTCAATTCATGTTTGGCACTACTAATTCCAAATTTACATATTTTTGTCTTACCAAACAGTAAAATTGAATTTATTGTCCTGAACCCCAGCGACTCTGTAACACCCCAACCTGCGTACCCCAAACCCGTGAGATAGCGGACCGGTGTGCCACTGGGTTGGTATCCGAATATACAACATTTTCAAAACAATTTTAAACAAACGTTCTTTCAATACATATAAAAATCCATCGGAGTAATTTAAAATAATGCGGAAGCCTTTTTAAAGTCAAACAACTTGGGATCTTGCCCGAAAACGTAATAAGCATTAAAGTTAATTAAATAAAGCATAATCAACAGATTAAAGAGACAGCCACGCCATCGTACATCTCCTCCTCAATGCCCTCTGGGATCGGCTCTAGGTTCATCTGTCTGATCACCTACGGACAGCAAAAAGGAAAACAACGCTATCCGCTCAGCATTGACGCTGAGTGGCACTCCATTGTAGCACAAGAATAAACATAATAATTCAATGATTAGATCGTGCATATGATTATCCTTTTGATAAAAATCAATTCAACTTTAAATTCGGTTCTTTAGACGGTTGACCAACAGTCAACTTATTTTCTTTCTTTTCAAAACGATTTAGGTGTTACGGGTTTCTCATGAACTCTTTGACAACCGGTCAAACCAATTTAGACTTTCACCAAAGTCAAACCACTTAACATTTAATGCCTATGACGGAGATAGCCTCAATCCGTAATACCGAAGATAGCCTCA